GGCCTGATCCCTGTTCTCTGCCCCCCCTCCCCCACCCCTCCCCTCTGTCGTCTCCACGGCCTGCTGGTCGATGACCGCGCCCGTCTCTCCTTTCTCCGCGCCCGCCCCCCCTCGCCGCGTCGTTCTTCCCTCCTAGCGGCCATCGGATCCTGCGCCCCATTTCGCATGAGACTCCTTAGAACTCTGCTCCTCTCCTACTTTACCCAAGCCGCCGACATTTCGTACTCGAGGACCGGATGATTTACAGCACGGTCCAGCGGACTGCACCCAGCGCACCGCGGGAGCTGGCCACGTCTGTTGTGACATACTGCCAGAATGGATTGCGCCCGTTGCCGCAGTAGTTGTTGTTCCGCTTGAACCCATAAGGTACTGCGCATACGAGTCGTGATTAAACACCGCTCACGAACCAAACGTTTGGTTATCAGACAGAGGGCTAGAGGCTGGAAGTCAGTATGATTACAATCGCCGAGTACATCGGAGACCTAGCGCAGCAGAAAGTACATCTGGACAGTTGCGAAGAATCGGCAGGGCGCATTGCCCGCAAGCAGGCATTCTTACGGGAAGCTGCGGGGCATAGCTCGATGTTGAAAGTTGGGAGATCAAGATTACAAGCACACTCCAAAACAGCCATTGGCACAGCTTCAGGCTTAGACACGACACACTTTCTGGACGCCGCGGCCTCGCGCGCAGCGTCGAGGCGCAGGAGGTCGCACAGCGGAGAAGCGCGCGCGCGGCAGGCCCACTCAGAAGCCAGGGGCAGGGATCCACCACGGGGGACCAACCGTGCCATGCGCACACCTGGGCGTGGGCTGCGGGGGGGAGCGGCGAGGGGAGCGGGGCGGTGCCAAAAGGCCAGCGCCGACAGCACGGGAGAAGCCGGGCGAGGCGCAGGGCCGGCACAGGCACGACTGGAAGGGGCGAGCGGCAAAGCAGGACAGGACCGGCGCAGCAGGAGCGGCGCAGAGGAGATGAAGGGCAGCCGATGGGGGAGAGCGGGAAGCACGTGACCGTCGATGCGGGAGGCGGCAAGGCGACCCCTCCTCCTCCTCCTCCTCCGCCTCCTCCTCCTCCTCATTCCTTCTCTCTCCTCCGACCTCTCCTGGGCTCATCCTCCTCCCCCTCCTCCTTTCCTCCTACCGTCCTCCCTCCCCCCTCCTCCTCCCCCCCCCCTCCTCCCCCTCCTCCTCCTCCTCTCCTCTCATCTCCTCCTCCTCCCTCACTCCTCTCCTCCTCCCTCCTCCTCCTCCTCCTCCTCCCCTTGCGCTCGTCTCCTCCTCCTCCTCCATCTGCTGGCTTAGGGGACGCGGGAGCGACCTCGCGGCAGCCGCAAGGGGGCGCGAGGACTGGGCAGGGCTGCCGCGCAGAATCAGAAGCGCGGGGCCCCCGGGTACATTGGAGCGAAGGCAGGGAAGGCCGCCTCAAAGGGAGCACCCGAGGAGGGAAGGCCACCTTCGCACCGTCAGCCAGCCCAGGCATCGCCACCCCGCCGGGTATACGGTATAAGAGGTGGTCGGTATCGTTTAACCGATCCCCATCCCCATCCCCATCCCCACCATCCCACCATCCCAGCTGGGGATATGCGCCCCGCAGCTCGAAGGGAGCAGCCCATATCCCCATCACAGAAGGTAAATCGGCCAGTGGTTCCCAGCCCACGCCCGTGGGGATAGGGGTCGGTTAAACGATGCTCAGGTGGGGGCGCCGACTTGGGCCGCACCCGAAGGAGGGGCAGCGGAGGGGGGGCCCACAGGGGGAATCCGCGTCCCACGAGGTGGAAAAACACACACACACACACAAAAGAAACACACGCGCACACACACACTGTGGAAAACACACTGCAGAAACACACACACACACACACACACAAACACACACAAACACACACACACACACACTGGAAATTACTCCGACGGAAGAACCCCACATAAGAATCCTCTGGGCGAATCTGGAAAAAACCATCACCGTCGTCCTCGTGGTTGGTGAGGCGTCCTGGCTGTCTCTTCTGCGTATATTTCCTCTCGCCTTGGCGCGGGCCCCCTTTCCACTCCTTACGTTGTCCCCATCCTCGCCCCCCTGTTTGTTCCGCGCCCCGCCACCTCCTCCCCTTCCTGTTGCATGAGCGCGCATGTCGATGTTCCTCGGCGCCGTCGCCGCCACGGCCAGCACAGGCGCGTTCTCTACAGGTCACGTCGCGCAGCCGTTGGGACAACCCCGCGGGCCAGGCTGTCGGGGCAACCCCGCGAGCCGCTGGCGCGCAAGACCAAGCCGTTGGGGCAACCCCGCGGGCTTCGAGCGAGGCGCAGCCGCGCTCAGGCGGAAGGCAGCACGAAGCCCAGCTCTGCCGCGAGCTGCTTCGCCTCCGCCCTGGACAAAACCGCCTGGGACTTCCTCCATATTCAAGCTTGAGGAGCCCAAAAGTGACGGCAGTTACAGGGTTCCGATGACCCGCTCGGATTACCAACATGATCTGCGGGCCCCATAGGGAGGGAGATCCCGCCTGAGACTTCCTCACAATTCACTCGAGTACGATGGCTCCCGCTCCGATTTCCTCCAAATTATTTCAGGCTTGACGAGACAAAAAGTGACGACAGTTTACAATTTTTTTCCGGATTGACCCGCTGGCGATTACCAACATGATCTGCGGGCCCATTAGGGAGGGGGCTCCGCCTGAGCCTTCCGCAGAATGCACTCACAGGGACGAGGTTTCGCCTGAGGGACTTCCTCAAAAAATTCAGGCTTCTGAGGAGCCCAAAAGTGACGACCAGTTCACAGGGATTCCGATGGCCCTCCCCGATTCGCCAAAACATGATCTGCGGGCCCCATAGGGAGGGGGCTCCCGCCTGAGACTTCCTCACAATTCACTCACAAACGAGGCTCCCGCCTGAGACTTCCTCCATTTTCAGGCCTGGGGAGCTCAAAAGTGACGACAGTTACAGGATCCCGATGACCCGCTCGGATTACCAAAAAATTCGGATTTTGCGGCCCCCCATAGGGGGGGAGCTTTCTTTTACTCTTTTTTTTTTTTTTTTTTTTTATTTTTTTCTTTTTTTTTTCTTTTTTGTTTTCCCCCGCATTCTCGGCGAGAGGGACTTTTTCACCTAATACTCAAAGACGAGGCCTCCCCGCCTAGATTCCTCAAATTTTTTCAGGGTTGAGGAGCCCAAAAGTGACGACAGTACAGGATTTTCCGATGACCCGCGCTCGGATTACAACATGATCTGCGGGCCCCATAGGGAGGGGGCTCCGCTGGAGACTTCCTCCCAAACTCATCACAGGACGAGGCCCCTGCCTTGAGACTCCTCAGTTTTAAGGCTGGGTAGCCTCAAAAAGGGCGACAGTTTACAGGATTCCGATGACCCGCTCGGATTACCAACATGAACTGCGGGCCCCATAGGGAGGGGGCTCCCGCCTGAGACTTCTTCACAATTTACTCAACGATGATGAGGATGAGGATGATGAGTGGTGGTGAAGATGAGTCCCGCCTGAGACTTCCTCCAAATTCAGGCTTGACGAGCCCAAAAGCGACGACAGTTACAAGGTTCCGATGACCCGCTCGGATTACCAACATGATCTGCGGGCCCCATAGGAGGGTGCTCCCGCCTGAGACTTCCTCACAATTTACTCACAGACGAGGCTCCCGCCTGAGACTTCCTCCAAATTCAGGCTTGAGGAGCTCAAAAGTGACGACAGTTACAGGATTCCGATGACCCGCTCGGATTACCAAACATGATCTGCGGGCCCAAGGGGGGGGGGCTCCCGCCTGAGACTTCTTCCACAATTTTCAATCGATGATGAGGATTGCGGATGATGAGTGGTGGTGAATGTGAGTGGTGACGAGGATGATGATTGATTGTGATGTTGGTGGTGGCGAGATGAGTTTTGAATGAGGATTACTGCGATGCCGATGATGATGATGATGATGATGATGATGTTCATGAGCGTGTGAGAGAGTGCGAGTGATGATGATGATGAATATGTGAGTGACTAAGCATGTGAGAGAGCATCATCGATGATGCTGATGAGGTTGATGATGAGAGAGTGTGAGCGAGTGTGAGTGGGTGTGTGTGTGTGTTCCTGTTCCTGCGCGGGGTGTCCAGAGAAAACAAGAACCCCACTTTGGATGTGGGGAAAACACACACACACACACACACACACACACACACACACACACACGCACAACAAAAAGCACACAGACTGTGCTTTTTCCACAGACTGTGTGTGTGGTTTTCTCCTCGGGCCGGGTCAGTCAGACGCACGAATGCTGCTGTGCGGCAGGCCTCTTCCGGGAGGGGGCTGGAGGAACC